TGGGGGCCCTATTCCAACCTCGGGTCCCGTGAGGGGCCCGTGTGTAGGCTTTCAGCATGTAACACGCCCCCCTCCTTATGAAGACGAGCCGGGGCGCGGGCGAAGCTGCCGATCCGATGGCGGAATGTAGCGAGGATGGCGAGGAGCTAGAGTGCTCTGCGTAGTCTTCCCTTTGCTAAGATAGCGTGAGAGAACGGCGGGGGCTGTGGCCTGCAGTTCCGAACGCGTCAGCCAACGGTCAGCCTTGTGGCTGCAGTAGGAAAAGTGAAGTAGAAACTCTGTTTCTTTGTTGCCATGGCGCCGGTCGGTGATGATGTAGCCGGCCTCCTGAAATCCGTCCATGGAAGGAGGGTCTTGCGTACGTCGACCGGGAAACTCGTCGGACTCCGCTGAAACGAAAGGAGTGAGTTTGGAACAGTGAAACACCATGTGGACGGGCAAGTGAGGTGGCACCGCGATGCCGAATGAAGGCCCCTCGGGATCATCACCAACTGCAGAGAGAATGCGCCAAGGCCCCATCCACTTGGGAAGGAGCTTGCGAGAGATGTCTTGCTCAAGGCTGAACTCCGCGGCCGAGACCCAAACCAGATCGCCGGCGAGGAACGGGCAAGGGAGACGATTGCGGTTGGCTTGACGGCTCATCCGTATTTGCGTCTTTGAAATCTGATCCCGTGCCTTGACAAGAAGCTCTTGCATGCGACGAAGGAACACAAGATGGTCGTCGCTCTCGGCTGCGCGCAGCAAAATGGCGTCCAGCGGCGATGAGATGGGTGAACCATGCTCAAACTCGAATGGCGACATCCCGATAGCCGGATGGATCGATAAGTTGTAAGCCAACTCAACGTCTGGCAAGCGCTCAACCCAATCAACCTGGTCAGGACGGATGAAAGTGCGTAGAAGGACTTGAGCTGTCTGATGCGCCCTTTCCGTTTGACCATCGGTTTGCGAGTGGCGAGTCGAACTCGGCTTCAAAGATGAGCCCCATCGCTTGACGAGGGCGACCCAAAAGTCGAAGAGAAAGCGAGTGTCCCGGTCGCAAACCATCTCCTTGGGGTAGCCCTTGGAGCAAATCCAATAGGTGTATAAGACCTCGGCTAACTCCGGTGCCTTTGCGTGATAGCGGCAAGGCAAGAGGCGATCGATGATCGTGAGGATCCCATCAACGCCGGTCTTGTGGTTCAGGAAGGGGCCGGTGATATCCATAGCAATTGCTTCCCGTCGCCCAAGGTGAACTGATAGTGGGTGTAGCTCGCCGAACGAACAATGGCTGCCTGACTTGCAACACCGACAGACTTCGCACGACTCACAATAGCGGGTGGCATCCTTGAGAAGGTCGGGCCAATAGAACCGCTGGCGAAGGCGGCCAAGTGTACGGTTGACACCAAAATGTCCGGAGGCGGGCGCATCGTGAAACTCGCCAAGAAGCCGTGTGCGCAAGTGTGAATCACACAAAGAAGATCCTTACCCCGTGAATGCACAAGCAAGTAGCCCTCTTGGATCCGATAATGCGAAGGCACCGGATTCGGAGAGGAGCAATTCGCGTACTTGTCGCGAAAGTGGGGGTTGGCTTGATAGCCGCGGATGAARCTCTCCCRCMAGTCGTCGTCGATCTCGAAGGTAGAGTAGACTGCGGTGCAAAGATCCGGTCGCCGTGAGAGGGCGTCCGCAAAACGGTTTGACTTCCCGGGAATGTGATCGGGGAAAAAGTCAAACTGGTCGATGAAAGCCATCCAACGCGCAATGGTACTGTTAATCGTGTCTTGCGACTTGCAGATTACCAACGGATTGTTATCCGTTACCCATCGGAATGCTTTCCGACCAAGGAGGAAATGTTGCCAACGCTTGAGGGCGTGGACGAAGGCAAGAAGCTCCTTCTTCTGTGCGTCGTCGATCGAATGCACGGGAGGTACTTTCTTGCTAAAGTACTCGACCGGGTGCCAGTCCGTGCCATCGTGCTGCTCAAGGACGTCCCCAATGCCATAGCCTGACCCATCGGTAGTGACGCGCGTAGCTAGAAGCGGGTCGTAAATATGTAACACCTCGACGGATAAAAGTGCCGCTTTGAGTGTTTCAAAAGAATGGCGCGCATCGTCGTCGAAGTCAAAAAGCCGCTCCTCGCTTTGTAACTTGCTTAGGTTGGCCGCGATCTTCGAGTAACCCTTGATGAAGCACTGATAATAACCGGCCAAGTCGAGGAAGGATCGGACGTCCGTCACATTCTTCGGCTCGAGCCACTCCTGGATGGCTTGAATCTTGTCCGCCAACGGACGAATGCCTTCCGGAGAGACAAAATGTCCCAAGTATTCAAGCTCTTGCCGGACAAACTCGCATTTGTCGCGGTTAGCTTTGTACCGGGCTGACCGAAGAGTCTCTAGAACGCGGCGAAGGTGCTCGAGATGCTCCTCTAGAGTTCGGCTATAGACGAGGATGTCGTCTAAGTAGACCAAGACAAATCGGTCCAACATAGCGCGAAACTCGGTGGTCATGGCCGCCTGAATGGTGGTCGGGGCATTGGTGAGGCCAAAAGGCATAACTACCCACTCAAAATGTCCATATCGCGTCTTAAACGCGATTTTGTACCGATCTTGCGGGCGGATGGAAATCTGATGATAGCCCGATTTGAGGTCCAACTTCGAAAAGTACTTGGAGCCGCCCAACCGCTCAAGCAAATCGTCAATGCGAGGTAGAGGCCCCGCGTTCTTGATGGTTTGCGCGTTGAGGCGTCGGTAGTCAATGCAAAGTCGAAGGTCCTTGTTCTTCTTCCGARCGAAGAGRACKGGCGCACCGTAAGGTGAGCTGCTAGGGCGGATCCAACCCTTGTCAAGTAGATCGTCGAGTTGCGCACGGAGAACCGTGAGCTCCTCCTCGAACATGCGATATATGCATCCTTTCGGTGGCACGGCGCCGACCTCGAGTATGATCTCGTGAGAGATCGGCCGGTCCGGCACTATACCGAAGGGTGTCTCAAAAACATCCGAGAATTCGTCTAACAACCAGGTCACACTGGGGTCGGAAGACAAATCCGTGGACGATGAGTCGGTCGACGGGACGGTTCAAAGAAAAGCGATGCCAATCTCTTCGACATGCTCGAAACGGCATGTGTCTTGAAAAGATTTGGCACTCACGACTTGGCACCGAATGGAAGAGCGAGGAGGAGGAATAGTACACGGGACCTCGGCGTTCGTGGCATCACGAATCGTGAGCGTGCGTCGATGGAAATTGACCGTGTGGTCCGCGCTAGAAAGCCAAGGCATCCCCAGAATGACATCAAAGTCGGTGTCCAACACGTCAAAAGTGACGGGTTCACATGCGTGCGGTGCAAAGTACACCGGGACAGCTGAGATGTAACGGTCTAAGAGTTGTTTCGTCTTACCGCCGGCAAGAGTGACCGTCGTCGAATGTGACTGCCTCCGTACTTGTGCCCCAAGGCCAGCCCGAGTCATGAAGGACTGGCTGACGAAGTTGCGAGTTGCGCCACAATCCAGCGAAGCGTTGCAGGCCGCTTGCCCAATTTGAATGCGGACGTAGAGCAATGGTGCGTTGTTTTCTTCGTACCGTTGCGAGACAAACTCGCGGGCCACCTTGGCAACATAGCCAAGCATGTCCCCCACCGCGACTTCGTCTACCGTCGGCGAAGTTGGTGGTGCATGGAAGGAAAGATACTCGTGTAAGAGGGCACATAGTGCTGCGCTTTGCGGCCCCGGAAGGTTGCCCGTTGTAGGGAGAGGAACCCAAGCGAAATCCTCGGGCGTGAGCGGGTCCAAAGCCTCCTCGTTGAAGGCGCTTGCCGAATCCCTTGATGAAGACGAAGTGGCGGAGGAACCTCCGGACGGTGAGAAAGCCGCACATGTTTCTTGTCCTCGAGAAGCATCCAGTGAAGGAACGAGCCGAGCAGCGAAATCTTCGAACGAAAGTGGAAGACTCCTGACATCCGCATATGCCTCGGAAGAAAGGACAGTCGTGTCGTGAGCACAACCGCTTCCGATGGCGTCGAGGGAGGTGTCGAGTCACCCTCGGCGACGCCTACTTTCCCGAACGGGGTTTCCCCTTGGTGGGGCAATGTGCAGCATCGTGTATGGTGTTGTTGCACCAAAGGCAATAACGGTACTTGAGTCTCGTGCGATAGCAATTCGCCGAGAGTCCGTATTGTGTCCAAGGTTCGTCGGATGCTGATCCGGGTGCCCGGTGAAGAGGTGGACTGAGTCTTCGCTTGTCGCAGCCGTGGTTGTTGCGCGGCCGGCCACCATCCCGGGCAGATGCCAACACTTCACCCTCGTTTGGTGTTGCAGCCTCGGCATAAGAAGTCGGCGAAGTAGCCGCAATGCAAGCCACCTTTGGCTTGGGCTGGGTGCTGCTCGTCGTCGCGAAAGATCGGCCGGCGTTGCGAGCTTCTACATTCGTGAGAATGATCCGTGATGCTGTGCTAAAAAGCTTGTCAGATGTGTCGAGTGTCTCTGCAATCTGCGTCAGCACGTTTTGCAGGGCTGGACACGAGCGCATGATAAACAAGTGTTTGACGCCGCGGAATGCGAGCGGCAAGTCAGGTGTGGAGGCGAGTCTTTGGAACTCGGTAATCCAGTCCTGACTGAGCAGCGTGTTCTGATGGAGCTTGTTGAGCTTGTCCATCGCTTGCAGGTCGGGCGGCTCCACTTGGAATCGCTTGTGCCAGGCGTCAGTCAACTCCTGCCAAGTGAGCTTGGTGTGCACTTCCGACACTGCTACGTCGTGGCTGGTCAAGATGTTGTCCAGCCATGCTTGACCATGCACCACCAGATCGGTGGTACAAGCACCGATGTCGATCGTTGTTCGCGACATGGTGCATGTCGAGCCTGAGAGTACACTGGCACCACCACGGGATCGGTTCCGTCTTGGACTGATCGCAGAAAACTGGAATGTCATCCAGTTTGGGTTGGCGCCGGGAGGATGAGGCCGCGGGCGTCACGGTGGCAGCAGCCTGGACCTGCGTCTCCAACTGCAAGTTCGTTGCTTGCTGCGACGTCCAGAAATCCTGATGCACACGCTTAATGTTGCTGACGTCATCCTCCAAAACTTGAACGCGGGTGGTAAGGTTGGAAGGCCCTGCGGCTGCTACAGCAGCTGGCTGTTTCTCCAACGCCTGCAACCGTGTAAGCATCTGGTCCACTGTCTGCTGCAGGTGAAGGATTTCCTCCTACTGCAGAGCGCAGGTGGCCACGAGGTCGTGGGAGATCTGCGCAACGGCGAACAGCCCTTTGTCAGTCTCCGGGGCCCCGTCTGCAGATGCCATTTCCACCCAATGTGCGGTCTCATCTCCGATCACGGTCTCCCGCGTGAACAGTCGTTCCCGCTGGCGTGACCGGTGTTCAGCTGCCGCCTGCAGGTCTGCCTCCTCTTGACGAAGTCGGTCCTGTTCCTCCTTCCGTCGCTTGGCCTCCTCTTCTTGCTCATTCTGACTACGTTCCTTGGCCGCGGCGGCGGCACTATCGTTGGCCTCCTGGATGAATGCCGCCAGACGTTCCTCGTAGGCCAGGAGGGATTCTCCCGCCTTCCCGTCCATGGCCTTGGTCTGTGATCGAGTGAGTGGCATGCACTGTCGTGCCTGAAGATTCACCCGTGGGCCAATCAGATGGACTGGCCCAGTACCCGGACTGGAGGGGGAGGAACAGGTAGGCAGCAGACAAGTGGGAAGGATCGGACAGATCCCAAATTGAACAGTTTCCTAATCAAAAAAAAAAAAAAAAAAAAAAAAATTGATAAAAAGAAGTAAATCAAAAATTCGAAAAAAAAGACTGTCCAATCCCACTGAGTACCGAAGGTGATGCAGAAAGCAGATGTGAACCTTCAGTGCTCGAACTGCAGACAATCAGAAAAGAAGAATCTTTTACAAACTCAGAGTAGGAGTAGGTTGCAAAAAGGAAATAATGCCGTTATTTTTTTTTTTTTGCTGGGTTAAGTTGACGTCCGGCCCAGGCGGACCGGGCCAGACAGACCGGGCCAGACGGACTGGGGGGGGTCCGTCCGGCAAAACCAGACGAGCCAAAAAACATCCCAGGATTTTTTAAAATTTTTTTTTGAAGATGGGGTTGGAGTGCGCTCGCTGAGAGAAGCCCGAATCCGCAGAGAAACTCGTGAAAGTCATGTGCGGTGTGGGGTGGGGGGGGGGGGGGGGGGGGGGGGGGGGGTTGGAGGTGGAGGGGGGGATTTGTCGACGGGGTAAAAGGTTGTGTTGTAACAGCCAGTCCGCCGAGGGGACTGGCTATTGACAGTACAAGAAGAAGAAGAAGAAGAAGAAGGGGAAGAAGAAGAAGAAGGAGGAGGAGGAGACAGATGAGGAGGAGGAGGCGGACCTGCCGATTTTGAGTTGCGTTGACGGGAAAAAAAGAAGAAAAAAAGATGAGGAAGGACGAGGAAGAGGAGGAGGAGGAGGAGGAGGAGAGAAGATCGGAGGGGGAGGAGGAGAGAGATGAGGAGGAGGAGAAGGAGGAGGAGAAGGAGGAGGAGGAGACAAGAAGATGACAGGAGGAGGAGGAGGCGGACCTGCCGATTTTGAGTTGCGTTTCCAAAAAAAAAAAAAAAAGATGACGAAGGAGGCGGAAGAGGAGGAGGAGAAAGGAGGAGAAGGAGGAGGAAGAGGAGGAGGAGGAGGAGGAGGAGGAGAAAGGAGGAGGAGGAGGAGAGA